TATATTTCATATCATTTCTACATTTGTATATATCAATTGACCCTGCCCTGGCCCTCTGTGGGGGGTTTTTTTTTTTTTTTTTTTTTTGTATTTCAGTTCGGGGTCAGGAAAATGGATTGGATGGCGCCAAGAGTGGAGCACCTTCTGGAAGAGGCACAGAAAGAGGCAGAAGAGGCCGTGGCCGAGGCAGAGGTGATTAGTGTTTTGGGGGTGTGGATATGTGGGCAGGTTACTCTTAATTCTTTAGGGGTCTGCTTTATTTAGAAACATTAACATTGAGTCTGGGTACCTTAAGTGTTGAGTTGTCATACATATAATAAAGATGGCTGAAGTGGATAGTGGGAAAGAAGGTAGATGTCATTTTCTTTAGTTTTTATTGCTGATGTTATTTTGATTGCTTGAGGACCCAGCAGTTCGATCAGCAAAAGAGCAGTTTCTGAACAGTAATGATTGTCTTATTCTGTATTAATTGATGTGCTACGTGGGACTGAGAGAAAGAACATCTGATAATATCAACCACTTACTATTCCAGAGCTGGCAAGATGGTTTTATATTAACTTCTAAGATTTCTCTCTCCCTCCCTTTTTCTCTCTCTTTCTTTAGGTGGCTCTGGTAGGCGGGGAGGGAGGTTTTCTGCTCAAGGAATGGGGTAAGTTTTATTGATATATAAATGTCTGTAGTCTTTTCTCTAAGAATCACCAAACACAGCCTTAATCAAAATGTGATCAGAATGATTTCTAAATTATTTATCAAAAAGATGTGTGGATTTAGCTCGTTTCTTAGGGGATAAGCATTTACCAACTGGATCATTACCTCTATCTTATAGCTTTGTTTGAATGCATATACCTGCTATTTTCTCAAAATATCCTAGATATAGGTTGAGATTATACTGTGAAATTTTGGATAGGCTGATAAGTGAGAAAAAGTAGACAGTATATAGGTTTATAGAATGGAGCCATGATTGATCTGTACTTCAGGAAGGAAACAGTCAAGATTCTGATTATTGTCTTTGAGTTAATATTTGCTGAAGCACTTAGAGGCCAGAGATTCTTTTAAACTTTTTTTTTTTTCAGAACCTTTAACCCAGCTGATTATGCAGAGCCAGCCAATACTGATGATAACTATGGCAACAGCAGCAGCAATACGTGGAACAACACTGGCCACTTTGAACCAGATGATGGGACGAGTGAGTGACCATTTATTATTCATTTCTTATCTCTGGGATTCTAAGGAAATAATTTTTTCGAGGGTATAGTTACATAAAAAGTGCTGGTAACACCAAGGTCACAGGTTCAGATCCTGTGAAAACAAATAAACAAAAAAGTGGAGGAATAGTTATTGAGATGAAAAAGGGATGGCAATTGAATTACTGTGTATGCTGTTTACTTACCACGTGCCTATGGGCACATACGTGCTGTTTCCCTTGATCCTTATCATTTGATGAAATAGGCATTATATATCATCACTATTGAGATGACAAAACTAAGACTGAGAGGTTATATATTTGCTAGTATTTGAACTCAGAATTGTTTGACTCTAAAAGCCCATGCTCTTTTCATGTGGCTCAAAGTATATTTCCTAGTGTTTATGTTAGGATAGCTTTGTCTTTTTGAATAGATACTCAGAATTAATCAGTTAATCAAGCCACTACTTGTAGAGGTGAACAGGGCCCAGAATCAAAGTCTACACTATTCATTTATTCTTTTTCTGGTACCAGGATAGGAATGACCATTTTTTCCCTTGATTTTTGGAAAATCTCAATTATCTGAGCAAGAGTGAAATCTCTAGATTTTCCAGCTCTCTGCTGAACAGCTTTCTTGGTGTGCTGGAGTATTATGGGGTTTGAATAAGATCTTTTTTGTTAGCTGGCTGTGATGCCTGAATCTGGGTAGGGTGTAAATGTTTAAGGGTATGTTAGGCTTGTGGGATATACCAAGATATGTTTGGGGTAAAAGATACGTGCGCTGCTTTTAGTAAGAGTAGCCTCTGGGCTCTAGAGTACTTTTTTCTTGTCCTCTTATGGCTGAGCCAGCACGTAAGAGCCTAATGCTTTTGGTCCCTCTTATAAAGGGATATGAAATAATAGTAGGGCCTGAAATAGGCTCATTAACTCCTTAACCATTTAAATTTTCCTTATCCCCTTTCAGAAGTCAGTGATTTTTTTATCTCTGGTTGTTTATAGGAGGTTCTATGGCACAAACAGCTTCTCATCTGTTGCCCGCAAGATGTTATACCTCAGGTCTTGAATGTTGCCTGCTTTTTGCTCACCAAGCTGCTTTCTCATAAACTCATTTTAAAAATTTCCTATGGTTGGAGGCTGAAGTTGAGTTATTGACAAGATAGGTGTCTTGTTGAATTTTCTTGCCATTTGGCTATGAAGTGTCCTATTCTGTTTTAACTCACTGTATTTCAGAGACATTAGAATTGCTCTTCATTTATCTCTTGATGGCTTTGTAGAGGCAATGGTAGCAGTCTCAATAACAAGTTAGTGTTTTGAGCTGTAGATTGTTCCTGGATATTTGGCTTTTTATCTTTGGCAGAAAAGTTGGTAGAAGTTAAGGGATTTGTTTTTATAGAGAATAGAAAATCAGGCATGGGGTCCCATTCCTGATCCTTGGCTGACTTCAATAAGGATCTGGTTGGAAAAACAGGGAAGGGTGAAGTGTATGTTTATTTTTGCTGAATAGAAAAAGGAGCAGATATGAAAGGCTAGAATTGGAAATCTGTGATTTGTGGCTGAATGAAATTATATGTGATGTCATTGTCATTTGTTAATGTGAGTGTTGGGTATAGCTTTATGCATTCCTATTGTTGATAATTTCATGATATAAACATACCTTCATGCATGATCTCTTTGTGTTTTCATGATAGCAAACTTCAAATTCCCTTTTAAATTAAAAAATAAATTCAAACTTACCCTTAAAATATCCACAGGTACAGTGGGAATTAGTATTGGGGGCAGATATTCTCATTGACAAGCAAAATTTCACTGGTTGTTTTTTCTTTTTTTTTCTTTTTTGTTTCAGGACTTGATTTCATTGGGGTTGAGGGGTCAAATTATCCCCGAAAATTTGAGACTGCTCCTGGTATGATACATCCAGGCGCCTAACTGCCCCGGATATTTTTATAGATTTTTATGAACTATAATATCTGTGGATATATCATTTTTCTGTCTTTCTGCTTTTTTCTTTCTGCTTTTTTCTCTCATTTTTATGCTCACTTTTCTTTCTTAAAAATTTGTCCATTTAATGAATATTTGAAATTTACATTGTGCTTTCTGCTAATGGAGTGGAAACCTTAATCTGTTGTTCTGAGCATTTCCATCTCACTGTTCCTTAATGCTTCCTCAACATAGCTCTTTTACTCAGCCATGACCATACATTCTGTATAGGAAAGTATCAAGTATGTGTCTACGTTCTTCCTTTCTATTCCAGTTGAAGTCACCAGAGTACAGAAAAAAATTATTGCATTGAGAGCCTAGAGTAAATAACCTCTCAGATCACTTCTAACTCTGGGATTGTATGTAAGTGCTAACTCACCTTGGGTTCCATTTAGCCAAGGTGGGGTGGATGTCAATGAAGAGAAAGGGTGGTATCACCAGAGAGGGACAGAAGAATGTGGTTTGTAACTTGTCCAGACTGAGATTAGACTTCGGTTTGAAGAACATTGTTATTATTAAGTGGTTCAGAATTTACCTGATACGCTTTCAGCATTTTCCTAGGAAAGTCATTATGATGAATATATTTTCCTCAAGGAAATAAGATTTTTCATTATTAAATGTTCAGAAGATTTTCACATGGGTTTTGTAGGTGTTAGAATGTTTCTAACTAATCTTTAGTGACATTGAAGTATCTGAATGCCAGACTTTCATTCTTGTAAGAAGACTTTCCCCATTTGGAGAGAAGACTTCAAGAGTTAGTAATCCACAAACTAGCTAGCTGCCAAAAAAAAAAAAAAAAGGGTCAGTCAATATATACTGTTGTTCTAGAGAAGAAAATAGGTGTGCTCTTGGGCCTTCTACAGACAAGTTCTTTTTTTCTTACTGTGGTCTTTTGGTTGAAGGGAAAAATCTTGGCTCTCAAACTCACCGAAATTCTTGAAGAAAGGGTATTTTCCCTTTCTGAGTATACATGTACATGTAAAGCAAAAAAAGGGAATGTGGGAGGTAGGTTGATTGCTTATGGACCTCTCCAGTAGAAACTGTATCCAAAATTTGGTACTGTCAACATGAGAAGAGTGTATATATCTCCATTGTCTGTGCCATGACCTTGGCAGGTCAGATTTCATGTTCTGTGTGAGTAGGATTAGGAGGGTGGCTATCATTCATACTTGATTTTTCAGTCTTGTCCATTGTATTCTGAAAAGAACAGATCCGTAGGGGCTTTCCTTATAGTTATTCCAGTTAAACCAGTAAGATCTATAAACTTGACTTATGATGAGTATGCATTTTTTATTCAGATCCAGTAGCAGATAGTTCTCAGTGCCTTCAGTTTGGATTTCAAATCCACCCTTCTTGTGCCCTTTCACTAACTACCATGTGGCAACCATTTGTTTCTCTATCACTGCTGCCATCCCTCTTAAGACTGCCTGCAGTTTTTTGTTCTTATGCCAGATAAATAGGCATAGTTTGCATGTTTTGATTTAAGTTGGCTGCTGCCATTTGACTGAATTGACCACTAAGTCAGAAGCTGAGGGCCTTAAAGATAATGCCTGGAGCATTAGATCGGGGTGTGTCTGTCTCTCTCTCTTTCTTTCTTTGTTTCTCTCTCTCTCTGCTACTGCAGCTCTGTAACAAAAACTGAAAGTAGCTGTGGAATCGTAATCTCATTAAAACCCTGGTGCTGAGGTATCATGCCCTTTCTAAAGAGTTTTTCCCTACCTCTGAAGCTCAAGAATTTCCTCTGATTAACTAGATTCTGGTCATACTCTTGGCTGCCAAAAATGTTAATACATTAGTGTTTTCTGCACATGCTTCATACTGGCATTTAAAATTTACTATTTTTCCTTTATTCCCAGGTGCATGGAGGACTGCAACAGAGGAGTGGGGAACTGAAGATTGGAATGAAGATGTAGGTATTCCCAGGTCATTCTTCACTAGTGCTTTCTATCCCTAAGTGGTGTTTAGGGATAGGAAATGGGCATGTTTCTACTTCTCAAAATTCACCCTTAAGATTCTGACCCAAAACTTTTACATCCAAAATAGTGTTCTGAGCCAGAACATTTCACATATGTTATATGAAGGAGACTGGGCATGAACGGGACTCTGTGGAACCACACTATGGAAAGGGAAGTGCACTTGTGTAAGTCCAATATCTGATTGTAAGATTTATCAGGAAGAGCTGGAGGTTGAGTAGGGCACCAGAAATGGAGTTAGGCAGGTAGTACATTGAGTAACAAATGCTGGTGGCACACGACTCTACTTAGAACCATTTCATTATTTTGTTTGTGTTTAAGTATTTGTTATAAGGTTCTTTTTTTTTTCTTTTTGTCTTTTTTCGTGTCCGGCAACCGATCACAACCCTCAGTGTCGCGCCCGTACCGGGACCGGCAACGGGATCGCAACCCTCAGTGTTGCACCGCACCTTGCTCAGCCAGTGAGCAGGAACCGGTCTGCATGTGGGATCCGAACCCTCGGCGGGAGCGCCACCGCACTCCCAAGCGGCGCACTGTAGCAGTGCGCCACCAGGCCGGCCCTGTTATAAGGTTCTGTAATGGATTGGCAGTGGGTACAAAGTGAGAGTTATGGGAACAAATCCTCAAGTTTGTTATCTGGTTGGCTGTGGAACCCTTTTATTTACTTGAAGCCCAACTTTGTAATTGAGATGAACACATGTAGAATTGGCTATCTGCCAGCTTGACTCAACTTGGAAACCTCATAGATGGGTGGCACATAAATGAGCTCTGTGAATTCACTAGAGTACTGCCTGAGTAAAAAGATTTTGCTGATTCTTGGTCACAGTCAAGGTTTTGCTGTGAATTATGGTTTTCAGTGATCATGGATAATTTTTTTTTTTTTTTTTTTTTTTTCCTTTTTGAGACTGGCCGCACCACGCTCAGTCAGTGAGCGCTGTGAGCACCACCGGTCATCCCTATATAGGATCCGAACCCGCGGCGGGAGCACTTTTGCTCTCCCAGCGCCGTACCCTCCCAAGTGCGCCAAGGGCTTGGCCCGGATAAACTATTTTAACAGTTTTAAATCTGCTTTTCTTTGCTTATATATAGTCAGGCAAGACAGCTTTTGTGGTAAGAAGAAAGGACATGTCAAAACTGTTTTGGCTGCCAATCCTGGGTTTTTAAAATTTCAGATGCATCAGCATCAGAGGGTGATTATTTTCTGTTGTAAGTGAGCTAGACTGCCCTGTGAATATGGGCAAATTCTGCTGCTTCCTGATATTTGGCTTGTCTGATAAAACAGCTTCCAGAGAATGACATATGGGGAGGAGAGTGGATTCCCTGTTTTTTAGAGGAGAGATTTTAATCAATAAACAAAACAAAAAACCCCAAACAACTTTTGAATAGTAGGGTTATTCCCTACAATTGCTTACCCAATTTTGGTGCCTTAGTAGAGGAAAGACTAGATGGATTAAGTCAGTATTAAGACAAAAATTGCATATCATTAAAATTATCCCTGGAAAGACTTTAACCATGGGCCCTTTCTGCTCAAAAGCCAAGAATTGACGTTTTCTTTCTTTTTTCATCTTGGCTATGATCTTCCTTTCTTTAGGGATAGTAGTGGAAGATAAATGTGGTTTGGGTAGAGGTGTGGGTTGAGAGCTGTAATGACAAAATATAAAGGAATTTTCTCTTTTTTTATGACTAGCATTTGTATGTTTAGCGAGCATTTGGTGATGAGGCTCCACCATGTTTAACTGGGTTCCTTGGTTCTACCTTCTCTGGATAAAACCATGAGCATGTATTGAAGGGGTTTGAAGGTCAGTTCATTCAGGATTTCTCAGAGTAGATAGTTTTCTTCATAGAATGTTCCCTTTTTCTTGATGTTAAATTTCTCTTTCCCAAAAAAAAAAAAAAAAATTTCTCTTTCCCATGCCTAGTTTCTGCCTGTAGCCTTAATGACAGTATGAATGACCAACTCCTCTGTTTTTTAGCTTTCTGAGACCAAGATCTTCACTGCCTCTAATGTGTCTTCAGTGCCTCTGCCTGCGGAGAATGTGACAATCACTGCTGGTCAGAGGCAAGTGTGTGGTAAAATTCAGTACCGTTTCCCAAAGAGATCTGCTGAGGTAGCTATAAGGAAAAATGCCACTGGCCTTCACATTATTGTGTTGGTAATAATGATATGACCAAGTCATATTAGGTTCCTGTTTAGTTATATGAGAATTTTGTAAGAGTTGGTACTAGTTTATCTACTGAATGGAAACGCATGTTACGATTTTAAAGCTGATTTTCCCTCAAAGTACCCTTTAATTATGTAGATCAGCCTGTCACATCACTGGCATTGACTGTATTACTCGTCTTGAAGTAAATCAAGGAAAGAAGATCCAAAAGTGAAAGTTTTTATTTATTTCTAAAGTCAATAGAACTGTTCAGTAGCTTCTTTTTTTACTTTATAATGATGGTCTTTGTCCACTGAGCCCACTGAGTGTATTTTTTCCCTTGGAATAAGCAGGACCCAGCTAATGAACTTTTCAGAACTTAAGCTAGCTATTGGAGTCAGTGGTAGGAGAAACAGTCTTCTGGGAATATTTTTAATCCCCTGAAAGCCTCTTGAATATCTCTAGACCTGGGCATGATAGCTTTTTATCTTAAAAGGCCCTAAAGAAGAAATGTAATAAGAATAGAATGTTAGGAATGTCATTACTAGAGGTAATGTGTGTTTTTTTTCTGACACCGGATATGTGTTGTTCTTCTACACCAATTTTGCAGTTCTCTGACAACAATTGGGTGTTCAGTGATTCAATTCTGACACTAACTACCCAGAGTTAGCACAGGTCCTGCAAGTTGAGGACACAGTCCCACAAGACTGCTCCCACTTCAGAAGTCTGCTGGCCAACTACAAATTTGGAGTTGGTTCTCATGACCCCCCTCTCCCCTAGGTTTGATAATTCACTGGAATTGGAATGACTCACAACTCAGGAAAGAGTCTTACTTACTATTACTGGTTTATTATAAAAGTACAATTGAGGAATAGCCAAGTGGAAGAAATGCATAAGGCAAGGTATGGGTTGGGGAATGCACAGGTCTTCCATGTCCTCTCCAGGTATTGGGGAGCTCTTCAAATCTCATTGTGCGAGAGTTTTAAGTAGAAGTTTCATTATGTAGGCATGATTGATTAAATCATTGGCCATTGGTGATTGAATTTAATAGGCAGCTCCTCTCCACTGGATGTGGATGGGGTTGGGGTGGGCTGAAAGTTCCAGCCCTCTAATCTGGTCTTTCTGGTGATTAGCCCTATCCTGAAGCTGTCGAGCTGCCCTGCCCTGGGTCACCTCATTAGCCTAAATTCAGGTATGGTTGAAAGATGCTTGTTAGGAATAATGCTTAGGAAATTCTCAGTGTTTTAGGAACTCTGTGCCAGGAACAAAGCACAGCCCAAATACAAGGATACTTCGAAATATCCTGGAAAAATAGAATTAAAAGATAATGTGTCGGGGCCGGCCCGGTGGCGCACTGCTATAGTGCGCCGCTTGGGAAGCGCAGTGGCGCTCCCGCCAAGGGTTCGGATCCCACATACAGACCGGCCGCTCACTGGCTGAGCGAGATGCGGAGGCAACGCCAAGGGTTGCGATCCCGTTGCCGGTCCCGGTCCGGGCGCGACACTGAGGGTTGCGATCCGTTGCCGGCCATGAAAAAAGACAAAAAGGAAAAAAAAAAAAAAGATAATGTGAATCTTTCTATGAATGTTTTGAAGTATCCTGATATATATATTTTTACTATTCCACAGGTAACTTTTTGACATTTTATAAAAGTTGGGGGAGATCTTCAAAAACTTCCCTATTCTAAAGCCATTTGGAGATGCTAGCATTCTGATACATGGTTTTATATCTTAGAAATTGGTAACAACAAGTGTTCAGTATTCAATCATGGATAAGTGTTTGTAAACTTTGGTTCAATTATTGAACTGCCACATGAAAACTAACGTTTGATATTTCATTAAATTAATAACTTCACTAAAATAAAAAATTTAAGTAACCATTACTATTGGCAACATTAGTGTAATTCAGCTAGATACTGTAATGGCTTTTACACTTCAATTATTTTGGTAAATTAAGTATTTCAGTGCTTTGTGCTTCTGAGTCCTTTAGAAGAGGCACCAGTAAGTGGCTTCATTTTAATTTAACCATAATCTGAGTCAGGTGTTAGAGAATGATAGACTGTTCAGTCATTATTCATTTAGATCCTTTCTCCTCCCTGCTAGAATTGACCTAGCTGTTCTGTTGGGGAAGACACCCTCTTCAATGGAGAATGATTCATCTAATCTGGATCCATCTCAGGCTCCTTCTCTGGCCCAGCCTCTAGTGTTCAGTAACTCGAAGCAGAGTGCCATATCACAGTCTGCTTCAGGGAACACGTTTTCTCATCACAGTATGGTAAGTAAGAAACATGGTTTTACCTAATCAGATCTTCCTGCTAACCCTAGTACACATACACAGTCATTCCTTCCAAAGACAGTTGGAGGTTTGTGATAGGGTAAAGCATCCCCTTTGTCCTCTTAATCAGTCTTGGGTGTAGAGATGTTGAGCTGGGTAGTAGGGGATAGTTCTAGGAAAGGACTTAGCTTTGCACAGACTGAATCTTTTAATAAAAATGAGTTAACATCATTTATTGAATAGTCATTGTGCTGAACAGTTTTTGGTATTTCTGCTAAAGAGAAAACCAGTGGCATCAGCCTGTCAACAAATTTTAATTCTTCTGCAATCCTAATTAATCTTCGATGGGATATTGTAGCAGTTCCCCATTTATTCTGGAGCAGAAGAAATTCTTTCTTTTTTTTTTTTTCCCTTTTTGTCTTTTTTACTGACCGGTAATGGGATCGCAACCCTCGGTGTCGCGCCCGTACCGGGGACTGGCAACGGGATCGCAACCCTCAGTGTTGCGCCCGCACCGCGCTCAGCCAGTGAGCGGGAACCGGTCTCCACATGGGATCCGAACCCTCGGCAGGAGCACCGCTGCGCTCCCAAGCGGCGCACTCTCCAGTGTGCCACTGGGCCGGCCCAAAGAAATTCTTTTATATTTACTTAAACCAGAAGTTTGTAGACTAGGCTTTCAAAGACCTAGAATCTTCCCAAATCTGCCACTTATTAGCTGTGTCTATTTCTCTGTAAATGGGGTAAGAGTGCTTGCTATTCCTATCTTGCAGGGCTTTAGAAAGATAGATAATTAGTATACAGATGTGGTGGGAGTACTGGTATTACAATAACCAGGAGCACAATGGCATATGACTTGTTGATTCAGAACATTAATAAGTCCCAAGGTCATTAACTGCATCAAAGGAACCATTTAAACCGAGCAATGGTGATTCAAGGACCAATTTTCTTATAATTACTAAATTCTAAGAAGTACTGCTTTTTATTTTTTTTCTCTTCTCTTTTTTCCTTCTATTTTTTGGTGCAGGGATACTAGTGTTGTAAGAGTTAAGCAGGCCATGTGTGTGCCTATAATGTTATTTCTCCAGGTATAATAATTACTTTAACTAGAAAACTGCTGAGCTAGCCACTAATCCAGAACTTTCAGTTTGTAACTGTTGTCTCAGACTTTTTTGTGTGTTAATTTAGTGGTGATTTGGTTGTTGAAGTTCTGCCAAGTAGGAAAGGTAACAGGCAAGAAAATATAGGATAGAGGAGAAATAGAAATATTGGGATTCAAAAGAAGAAAGAAAATAGGAAAAAGGTTGTAACAAGGTGTAATGAAGATCAGGAAGTAACTATCAATCCATAAGTTATCTAACTGGAAAATACAGTTACATGTTCTATGTCTCTCTTACTTCCCCTCTTAATGTCTGGAGTTATAAAGATTTACAACCAAATCAAAATTTTGGTATCAAAAAAATGTTTTCAACATACATGCACTTACCTTAGCATTCTATTTAATGTCTGCCATTTATGTTAATAAAAATAGTATTCTGTTTTTCTCATTACCTGTTTTAATTAATGTTACCTAATGTAGTTTCTTTTCTGTTGAGAATAAACTTCAGGGTGTTAATTTCCCTTAAAATTTAAAAGATCTAAATAACATAGAAGTTTCTCTGTTTATTTTCATTTATTTTTATTTTTATTTTTATTTTTATTTTTTTTTGTCTTTTTTCCGTGTCCGGCAACGGATCGCAACCCTCAGTGTTGCCCCCGTACCGGACCGAGGACCGGCAACAGGATTGCAAGCCTCGGTGTTGCTCCCGTGCCTCGCTCAGCCAGTGAGCGGGAGCCGGTCTGTATGTGGGATCCGAACCCTCGGACGGGAGCGCCGCCACGCTCCCCAAGCGGCGCACTATCCAGTGCGCCACCGGGCCGGCCCTGTTTATTTTCATTTATAATACAATGAACAATAGGTAATTTTTTGTGTGTGTCTTTAATATAATGCACTTGTAGAGTATTTGGTAATCATTAGCTGTGTGAGTCATCTCTCTGCCACAGTCTCATATTCACTTAGACTTCTAACGTTTTTGTTTTTGTAATCTTGGGATAGAGACTGAAAAGCAGAAAAAAATGGCTTACCTTTAGTTGGACAGAGTAGTTTTGTATAAAAAAGCACTGTTTGGTGATGACATAGTTAAACAAGCACCTATGGAAGAGTAGATTAAATCTCCTTGGAGGTTTTTTTTTTTTTAAGACTAGTTAAGGCCACATGGTTTATCTTCTGGGCTAGGCTGATAGTTTTACTTGATATTGGGGAATGGGGAGACTCCTCCAAAAGCATTAAGAGTAACTTTGCTTGGTTATCTGTCATGCAGTGTTTACCTTATAGAACTTGTATACACACAGAGAAAACAATCAAATCGTATTGATTTGTTAATTTAATTGTCTAGTGCAGAAGTTGGAATGTAACTTCTATGCTTCTTCTGTCTAGTTATTAGCAGTATCGAGATGAGGCTACAGTTAATTGTTTTTGTTTCGTTTAATAGAAGGGGCAAGGATCTTTTTTTTTTTTTTTTTTCTTTTTCCGTGTCCGGCAACGGATCGCAACCCTCAATGTTGCCCCCGTACCAGACCGGGGACCGGCAACGGTATTGCAACCCTCGGTGTTGCTCCCGCACCTCGCTCAGCCAGTGAGCGGGAACCGGTCTGTATGTGGGATCCGAACCCTCAGGCAGGAGCGCCGCCGTGCTTCCCAAGCGGCGCACTATCCAGTGCGCCACCGGGCCGGCCCCGAAGGGGCAAGGATCTTAATGGCTAAAGTAAAATTTTATATTAGTTTCATGTTAATTTAATAAATATTGGTTGACTTAAAAATTAAAAGGGTTATAGGAAAGTTGATATAGAAAAAATAAAAGAAATAAATTTAAAGTAGGGGGAATCTCCTGGTCATCAAGCTTTATCCCTGAGAAGGACGGAAGAGGAAATGATGGTGATGGTATAAGTTTTAATGTCTCTCATTTTTTTGAGTGCTTACTATGTGCCATGCATGTATTAAGTGCTTTAATACGTTGTTTGTTTAATCCTACAACTTTATGAGGTACTACTTCTATTCCTGTTTTTAGGAGAGGAAACTGAGGCAGAGATTAAAAGTAGTTTAAAAGTAGTTTTTCCAAGATTGCACAGCCAGAATTTGAATCTAGAGTGTCTGACTCTAGATCTTGTACTCTAATGGACTATGCTGTGTACTCATTCTGGTAGCATTCTTTATTTGTCTCATCTATACTGGCTCTCAATCTGGATAAGTGTCTTTCGTGGTAGCTGAATCAGGTTACTAACTGTAGATTTCTCTCATCTCTTTGTTGGTCTACAGGTGAGCATGTTAGGGAAAGGATTTGGTGATGTCGGTGAAGCTAAAGGTGGTAGTACCACAGGCTCCCAGTTCTTGGAGCAATTCAAGACTGCTCAGGCGCTGGCTCAGCTGGCAGCTCAGCATTCTCAATCTGGCAGCACCACCACCTCCTCTTGGGACATGGGCTCAACAACACAGTCCCCATCACTGGTGCAGTATGGTGAGAGGATGGAAAATGACTTGAATCCTTTAAGCATTGGAGCATTACTGTCATAAGGCTGGTAGGGGGAGTGAGTGGAGAATGTGTTTGGAAGTGAATAGAGGGTCAACCAACTGGCTAGTTTGCTGCACTGATTTCCTCTGTCAAGGAGGCTGAGTTCAGAAAGTTGGGGAATAATAAAAATTTGATGCCGTGTATTTCTCTTATCAAATTTAGCCATGCACAAAGTTGCAGTCTTCTGTTGATGTGGAAACTTTTTTGGTTTCTCCCCTACATTTATCTTGAGTGTTTGAAAATAACATATTGCCTTTGGTTTCAAGGGCTTTGCCATCTTAAGACCTTATACTTTAAACATGGGCAGTTCGTAGATTCCTGTCTTACACAGACATGGTAATGTTGTGATTTGATTAGCCTTTATGTAAGAAAAGATGTGATCCAGTAATTGTCAGCTATAGAAATGAGATAAAATCCTAAAAGAGCACCTGATTTATGAGCTTCTGATTCTTATGGGTTTGTTCATGGTACTAATGCAGGACAATAGCATTTCCTTGTGATTCATCAGCACCTTTGGCCTCATACATATTGTGTTTCCTCTGGCAGATTTGAAGAACCCAAATGATTCAACAGTACACAGCCCCTTTACAAAGCGCCAGGCTTTCACCCCATCTTCAACCATGATGGAGGTGTTCCTTCAGGAGAAGCCACCTACAGTGGCTACCTCCACAGCTGCACCTCCACCCCCCTCTTCTCCTCTGCCAAGCAAATCCACCTCGGCTCCACAGATGTCTCCTGGGTCTTCAGACAACCAGTCCTCCAGCCCTCAGCCAGCTCAGCAGAAACTGAAACAGCAGAAGAAAAAGGCCTCCTTGACTTCTAAGGTACTTGAACTTTTTAGGTAGATAGTATTTTAATGCAAGGAGGTGTGGGATTTGGAAATTGAGATTGTAAGGGTAAGTTTGGAAATTTAAAGGGAAAGTTTTTTATTAGTCTACAGTAAGTTTGTATTAAACCATTACTTTTTCCTCTTCACCTTTCTCTACAGATTCCTGCTCTGGCTGTGGAGATGCCTGGCTCAGCAGATATCTCAGGGCTAAACCTGCAGTTTGGGGCATTGCAGTTTGGATCAGAGCCTGTCCTTTCTGATTATGAGTCCACCCCCACCACGAGCGCCTCTTCAAGCCAGGCTCCAAGTAGCCTGTATACCAGCACGGCCAGGTAATTGAAACATTAGCCATAAGACCTCTTTTATTAGGCTTTTACTATTTTTTCTAAGTCTCTTGCTGATTTCTAGAATTCTGGAGAGGCCAAGCCTGCGACTGGGTGAGGGGAAAAGTAGTCAGTTGTAGCATTTTATTGAGTACTTTAAAATATTGTTATTAGGATGATTTGTAACTAACAGAAGTATGTCACTTAGATACTTATAGAATGTCCAAGCACAGTTCTGAAAGATGTGTACAGAACTTCTAACACAGAGTACCTTGGCATTTGCCACAGCTGAAAATGCTGGTGGTTCTTTGGTCCACTTTCAGTCCTTTGTTGTGGGACTTAGGCCTGTGAAGGTTATAATTTTGAACTCCTAGGAAGGAGGTAGAATTAGTAATATCTTACAGAAATTAAAAGTAACCTCATTGGTAGAACTTTCCTTACCTCGTCTGTTAGCTATCAAGGAGGGCCATCTTAAACAACAGAAAATCCTGGAGGAATTTCAGGGGACTAGGCTGTTTTTTCCCAGTTCTTGGGATTTAAAAATACAGATGTCTGGCCCTAGTCTAGATCTTTTAAATCATAACTGCCACTGTTGCATGTGAATATTTTTTAAAAACTCCTCTCAGGAGAATTGTACCAGTAATCTTAAATCCGATAAGATTCTCAAGGGAGCTCAGAATTCCTTAAGATGAATGTAAACAAAAGATGGCTTTTCCTGTACTTAGGGTTCATGTTATGATGTACAGAAGGGACCAAGAGTATTGTACCCTTTCTCCTGACCTTTAGCCTCTTTTTGTTATAACATCAGAATGTAGAGGAATAAGGGGTTTTTCTCCTCCTTTAGGAGTTGGAAAAAAAAATTTTTTTAAAGATGACTGGTAAGGGGATCTCAACCCTTGACTTGATGTTGTCAGCACCATGCTCAGCCTGTGAGCTAACCGGCCATCCCTATATAGGGATCTGAACCCGTGGCCTTGGTGTTATCATCAGCACCGCACTCTCCCGAGTGAGCCATGGGCCAGCCCTGAAAAAAAATTTTTTTTTAAAGATGACCGGTAAGGGGATCTTAACCCTTGACTTGGTGTTGTTAGCACCATGTTCGTCCAGTGAGCTAACCGGCCATCCCTATATGGGATCCAAACCTGTGACCTTGGTGTTATCAGCACCACACTCTCCTGAGTGAGCCATGGGCTGGCCCTATGACTTGAAAATATTTTTAAACTTCATCCTTAATTCAGATCCTGGATTATAGAATGTGGAAATTCCTATTGTTGTCAGGAGAAAATTGTGGGAGTCTTTTTTATTTGTTGCCGGAAAATTTCTTTTTGATTGAAATCAAGTTATTTTAGTAGCAGAGCTCTGTATGTCCTGGTATCAGTGAATCTGTTCTATTTTGTTTTTCTGAGATTTTTCTTCTTTTCATTCCCCACAGTGAATCTTCATCTACAGTTTCATCTAATCAGAGTCAGGAGTCTGGTTATCAGAGCGGCCCAATTCAGTCAACAACCTATACCTCCCAAAATAATGCTCAGGGCCCTCTTTATGAACAGAGATCTACACAGACTCGACGGTACCCCAGCTCCATCTCTTCATCACCCCAAAAGGACCTGACTCAGGCAAAGGTAGTGGTTTCACGAGCTCCTGGGCATTGGTTAGGAGAATAGTATGCAGGAGTTCCTTAAATATTATTGTTTTACTTCTCAGCAACTGGTGCTAAGAAACCTCAGACATGCTGATTGAGAAACTGAAGAAGCACATTTCTGTGGTTGGTGAAATAAAGTTCTTTTCAGCAAGCCTGGAGACTCAGAGGCAGAAAACCATTCTCTTTGTACTAAACATTCATTGTCTCTAGTAGAATCTGTCTCAGGTACCTGTCCTCCCTTCTTGGAAGATCTGATTGCTACACTTCTGGGTGCATATTAGTAGACCTCACCTTGCAATATTTTGGCTTGGTGAGGGGGACAGCATATGGCAAAGGTGATGTGGAGTGACTGTCAGATGCAGCAAGCAGAATAGGTGGTTTGGCTGAACTGTCATAGTCCCACATCCTCCCCCTAGGTCTACTGGATTTTGACTTTGGGGTTTTTCTGTATCTATTTTGGGTTTGCAGGGGTTGCCTTCTGTTGCCTTTGGTCATACAGGGTTGTGTATCTGGTTTTGTTTTATTTATTTATTTATTTTTGGCAGCTGACTGGTACAGAGATTGAACCCTGGACCTTAGTGTTATTAGCACCATGCTTTAACCAACTGAGCTAACTGGCCAGCCATGTGTTGTTCATAATTTTTGTTGTTATTTTGTTTCTTTGGATAGTCTACCTTGTATTAATCTTTTGGTTAATCTACTGGAGTTTCTCCTAAAGGATTGTTGACCAAAATTAAGCTGAGTCAATGCTAATTTGCCCCATTCACATGAATTTGTTTCTTGTTCCTCTGTTTCTTGTACCAGAATGGCTTCAGTTCTGTGCAGGCCACGCAGTTGCAGACTACGCAATCTGTTGAAGGTGAGTGTTCTCCAGGCTTTTTTCTCTCAGTTGTAGTGTTTTGCTCCCCTTATTATTTTTGCATTTCTCAAATTGTAGTGAGAGGAGCTCTGGCACAGTGATCAAAACATCTGGTTATAGTCTTAGTGTGGTTCTGCTGCTGTTTTAGTCTCAAACCATCCTAAATTTCAGATTCTCTATCTTAAAATGGTGATAATTCCATTGGTTCGTTTCATTGAACAAATGAGGTCCATGCTGTGAAATTCTTGGAATTTAAAAAAAAAAAGATTCTGCCTAATACAAATGACCCATGATTAAATAACTCACACTTGTCTTTGGGGCAGCAAAGGACTGTAGTGACCTCTTTACGAGAAGACACTCCCTTTTCTCTGATGAGGTGAATTCCTTTCTTTATTTCCAGGTGCTACAGGCTCTGCAGTGAAATCTGACTCACCTTCCACTTCTAGCATCCCTCCTCTCAATGAAACGGTATCTGCGGCTTCCTTACTGACGACAACCAATCAGCATTCGTCCTCCTTAAGTGGCTTAAGCCACAGTGAGGAGATTCCAAATACTACCACCACACAACACAGCAGGTGATTGGGGATGAGGATGGAGGTTGGGATTGATGAGTAACAATAACAGAGCTTTCTGGTTGTGTCTTATTCCTTCTACCTGGCAGAGACCACATTAGCCCTGCTTTTTTGTGGTAAGTTGGGTGTCCTAATTGCTGTGGGGAAGAGAAGACAGAGGAGGCTTATTTTATCTTATCCTTTCAACGTCCACTCTTGCTTTAACTGCATACTGCCCCTGGCTAGCCCTTGTGCTTACCACATGATCTCAGACCTCCTTGGTCTCATATTCTGCCTTATTCCATCTTATTCTCTTGCTTGTGTTATTGACTAAAGCTCCAGGTCAGGTAACCATAGCACTGTGGCTCATGGCAACCTCTTTTTACTTACAGCACATTATCTACGCAGCAGAATACCCTTTCGTCATCAACATCTTCTGGGCGCACTTCAACATCCACTCTTTTGGTAAGTGATACTGAGAGGAAGTGTGGTTTTCTTTTTCTTACACTTAAAACTATCCAACCCTAAAAGTCTCCTAAGAAAGAATTCTTCCCTCATGTGGTAGCAAAATGATAATTGATCTGAGGTTACAGGAAAAGGAGTAAAATGTTGTTGGAAAGCCAAAAGAAGCAGAAGACTCCAGAAATATTGCAAATATTTGAACTCTGGACCATTCCTAAATGCCCTGGAAATGACTTTCTGACACCTCCCCACCCCCACCCCCCCACAACCTTGAAGATAGGTGGGGCTTTGTATGCTGTAGTAAATTCTGTAAGAACATACCTTTCTCTCTGGTAGAGCTGTTCTCATTCCTTGGTCTGGGGTAATGCTGGATGTGAGTCCTAAAAATAGTGTGAGGCTGGACATCCCTATGAAAGTTGAGGCCAGATGAGAGCTTTTGGTCAAAATTAATTTCACTGTTGTGATTTTTAGCAACTATTTGTGGAATTAAGCTGGACTAATAAAGGAAGGACCCATTTTGGACAAAGGTCTCAGGTTTTCCAGGGGCCTAGGGAAAGATATGAGGGCTAAGCCTTTCTTAGGAAACTCTTTACTCAAATATACAATTTCAGTTTTAAATTCAGAACTTGTACTTTTTTATAGCCCATGAACTGGTCTCTCGGGCTGAACTAGTGGAGAGAAGTGTGGGAGAGAGGGCTGTGATACGTTTTCCAGGTCTCAACCATCTCTGTCCCCTTACTGGTCAACCATTGTTGATCTCTTGAGGAGTGTGTCCCCAGCACTTTACTGTCTTTCTGAACAGGATGGTGATGTGCAGTGAGTGTCTCTTACCACCTTTGCCAGATGAATCTTGAGGACTGTGTAGCTGGAGAGTTTTTCTAACTATGGCAGAAGGCACCTTAGTACCCTGCCTTGGCCTTTTTAATTGGGAAGTTGACACGATGGTAATATAGTCAGCAGAAGGGATTGTTTATCTTTCCTGACCTGTGATACTAATTTCTGTTTCCTTCTCTCTTCCACTGCTGCACCTTTTTTGAAGCACACAAGTGTGGAGAGTGAGGCGAATCTCCATTCTTCCTCCAGCACTTTCTCTACCACGTCCAGCACAGTCTCTGCACCTCCCCCAGTGGTCAGCGTCTCCTCCAGTCTCAATAGTGGCAGTAGCCTGGGCCTCAGCCTAGGCAGCAACTCCACTGTCACAGCCTCGACTCGAAGCTCAGTTGCTACTACTTCAGGTAGCTTTGCATAGGCAGGTGGCATTCCTCTGGGATGGAGGAGATAAGTAATTATGTCTCAGGATGAAAATGTAATTTCTCTTTTAGGAAAAGCTCCTCCTAACCTCCCTCCTGGGGTTCCGCCGTTGTTGCCTAATCCATATATTATGGCTCCAGGGTTATTACATGCCTACCCGGTAAGTGGGACTGAAGGGTCTTCTCCAGAAGGTGAAGATAGTGTAGCCACTCTTTTAATAACTCTGGCTTCAGGTGGAAGACTATAATTAAAATGCAAGGTAAATGAGTGGTTGCCACATATAAGCAAACAGGTTTTTAATCTTTATAGTTCTGAAAAAAATAATTTTTAGAGAGGAAGGACTAAACTGAGGCCAGGCCCTCTATTGTTTATCTGCTCGTGTAAAACACAAATTCTGGGTCTCAGAAGCCAAAGGCCAGAGTATTCACCTGGAATCTCTTTCAGTTCCTTAGAGAATTATTTTCTCTAGTTGAATTGATTACCTAACTTTGGAGATCTTTTCTGGCTCTGACCTGGTCAGAGCAGAGTTCCCTGACTCAGTCTGGGACTGTCTGAGAATAAGTGGCTGACAGAAGAGGCTTTTTGCCCTGACATATCTTCTGTCACTTTCAAGCATTCCAAACCTATTAAGATGAAGGGAGTTTATGAAAATTTTTTATGAGACATCTGTTCTTGTCCTTACAGAGGAAGTCTGGATAAACATCATACAAATGAAACATCCAAATAGTACTACTACACATTTTTTAATATCAACACACTGTTACTACCCAGAAATTGGAGAACACGAGTAAAATATGAATCCTTTCTGGAAAAGATATATTTTAAGGCAAATTTTGAAGGCTATTGTATAAAACTTGTATCTACCCTACTGCTGCCCAGAGGCCAACCTAGTTGAATCACCATTGTTTAGCTCCAGGAAAGCTTCAAAACCTTTCATGAATCATTTAATCTGTACTTCACTCCTTAAAGAAAACAAAGAAATAATCTGTTTCCTGTTCTACCTAAAAATAAGGGTGAATGTTCTGTTAAATTATCTTGCCTCTTAGCTCCTTGGTTTGCCACCATTGTGACCAGTTCTCAATAATATTGTTACATGTTTATATCTTTCAGCCACAAGTATATGGTTATGATGACTTGCAGATGCTTCAGACAAGATTTCCATTGGTAAGTATATGGGGTAGAGCTTTGGAAAAGAAAGTGATCCTAAAAATTAGTGTTGGTAGGATTATCTCAAATGTTCAGTTGATAAGTCACAGACGTATCTCTTTTTGAACACATCTCTCCATACACACACTTTGATTTAAGATATATTAGAATTTAAGGGGCTGGCCCGGTGGCACACTGGATAGTGCGCCGCTTGGGAGGCGCGGCGGCGCTCCCGCCCGAGGGTTCGGATCCCACATACAGACTGGTTCCCGCTCACTGGCTGAGCGAGGCGCGGGAGCAGCACCGAGGGTTGCAATCCCGTTGCCAGTCCCCGGTCCGGTACGGGGGCAACACTGAGGGTTGCGATCCGTTGCCGGACACGGAAAAAAGACAAAAGACAAAAAAAAAAAAAAAAAGAATTTAAGGACTTGGGTGTGTGGTTCTAACAGAAGGTAACTTTTTTCTTTTTTAAATTAGAGTTGTAGCGTCTTTGAAGTAAACATACTTTAACCTAAACTATGGCCCATTAGAGTACTCTGGAGCTCTCAGGATGTTTTCTGTTATGTCTCAAACACTTTACATTACAGAAAGAAAGATCTGTTTTCTCAGTAGTATAAACCTGGCATAGACTGGTAGGGATGATATCTAGAGGGTTGAAAGTTTTGGTCCTGGTGGGCCTTGATGTATTCTCCAGTGGGCATACCCGTAGACCTTGTGTGACTATATTCATGGCCAGGCAGGGGGGACAGTGTATGCAAGAGTAATTTGGGAGTTTGTGCTAGCTCTAACCAGCTTAATCAGTGGCTGGATAAACTGCAGTACTCCAACATTATCTGGCTTCTCACCTGTGGAAATAATTTCTCATGTTGGGGTATGAGTGGCATTGAATCTCTGTTATTTCTCTCTCCTAGGATTACTACAGCATCCCATTTCCCACACCTACCACTCCGCTGACCGGGAGGGATGGTAGCTTGGCCAGCAACCCTTATTCTGGTAGGACTGGGATGGAGCTGAATAAAGGAAAATTGTTTTAGGATTGGTGGCAGGTATCTGATTGGTAGCAAGAAGGGACCCGTTTCTAACCTTAATTAAGATCTTTGGAAGCGGTATAGACTGGATGTGATGAATTAGGCTTAGTAGATTCAGAATCCTGCTAAAGATGGGCATGTGGTTGCTTTTTTCTTTTCGTCTCTCTCTTGTCTCCCTGTGATTTCCAGATGATTATCTCAACTTGGTTTTCTCAGCCATTCTCCAGCTTTTTCCAGGAAGTATAGTGATTGAACTGACCTTCTGTGCTCATCTCTGCCCCTGTACCCTACTCACAGTGGCAGTCTCATTGCCCTGCTAGGCCTGGGCCTTCTTTTTTCTACCTAACCTATCGTTGTCCTCATTGATTTATCATTTTCCCTGATCTATCATTGTCCTTCAAGTCCAGCTTGGGGTATTCCCCATGGAGGAGCAGAGGGGAGGAAAGTGGGGGAGAGATAAAAGAGATCATGAGTGGGCAGAGAAATAATCATGCAGGAGCTTTGTTCTAGAAGCTTGTCTTTGCCACAGCATCGCACAATTAATTCAGCATTAGTCCTTGACTAGCACTGTGCTGAGCAATGCCAAGAGGAACTACAAAGAAATGTAATTCAAGGAATTGAATTACAGTCTTTGAATGGGATCTTCTAGAATCATGTGAAACCAGAAGTAATTCTACATTGGTATTGGGGTGAAAGAGGCAGGTACATTTAGCCTCTTCTGTCACAGGTGACCTCACAAAGTTTGGTCGTGGGGATGCCTCCTCCCCAGCTCCGGCCACAACCTTGGCCCAGCCCCAACAGAATCAGACGCAGACTCACCACACCACGCAGCAGACATTCCTGAATCCGGCGCTGCCTCCTGGCTACAGTTACACCAGCCTGCCATACTACACAGGGGTTCCGGGCCTCCCCAGCACCTTCCAGTATGGGCCTGCTGTGTTCCCTGTGAGTACTTGATCTCTCATGGTGTAGGATCCTAGCCCTGGACATTATCCTAGCTCTTTTCAAGGTTAGAGGACTCTTTAGTAATGAATTAGAGGGAACAGTTTCTACCTCTGGCCTGGAAGGGAGAGCGGGGCAGGAATTGTTGGAATTGGAATAGGAATTATCTGTTCTTAGAATTAGCCAAGGGTAGGGCCGGCCCGGTGGTGCACTGCTACAGTGCGCCGCTTGGGAGCGCGGCGGCGCTCCCGCCGAGGGTTCGGATCCCACATACAGACCGGTTCCCGCTCACTGGCTGAGCGAGGGGCGGGCGCGGCACTGAGGGTTGCGATCCCGTTGCCGGTCCCGGTCCGGTACGGGCGCAACACTGAGGGTTGCGGTCCGTTGCCGGAAACGAAAAAAGACAAAAAAAAAAAAAAAAAAAAGAATTAGCCAAGGGTATAATATGATGATATACAGTTTTGTTTCCCTCAAACCGTCATTCATTCATTCTGCTATCACTCCCCCTTTTCCTTTCTCCGAACTACCATTTTTTTACTTCACTGGTAGATTCTAGAAATACTAAGCAAACTGTAGCTAGCCTACATCAGGACAGGTATAGTCTTCTGAACGCCAAGTCCCTGGAGTAGGCAGGTAGGACAGATAGTATCTTACTGCCATTTCACTGCAGTTCTGGCTTTTTTGCTCATTAGGTGGCTCCTACCTCTTCCAAGCAGCATGGTGTGAATGTCAGTGTGAATGCATCGGCCACCCCTTTCCAACAGCCAAGTGGATATGGGTCTCACGGATACAACACTGGTAAGCTTACCTTGGCCCTGGCTCAGTGATATCTGTGGGATGTTATTGCATGACTTTTAGGGAGGAAGACTTGGTGCTTCAGAAAAGAGGTTGATGAGGTTGTGCTGATGCTCCATGTATGATTGTTAATGCTTGACTGATTTGGGTGTCTGGGAACAGCACCAACAGAGGACTAGGACATTTGTCCACTACTCATGGTGGGAATGCCCAAGGGTGTCTTTTGGCTATGTTGGCTGGCCTAAACTTTGGGTGGGAATTAGGGCAAGGGGCCCTAAGATTTTGCTGAGATGTCGGTGGAGGCAGATGTTAATTTGTATGGCACTGATAGTACACAGGGGAATATACTCACTGAATAGAAGGGTTAACTGGGTTCATAGCTGTGATAGGTTTGGCTTAAATATCTTTGTAGTTCTACTTTTCTCATGTGGCTCCCTTTTTATTCCCTAACTAGAAGATCTAAGATATAGAGAGAAAGGGGTAGAAACAACAATTCCAGTAGAATAAGAATTGGACTGGGAGAGTTGGACTTTTAGGTTCCTTCATTTGTATGGCTGGTCTCTTTGTAAATTCCATTTCCACATCTGATGGCAGGAAGAGAAGTGTAGGAATCCTCTGGATGGATACTGACCAAAATACTTAGTCTATTCCGTGCTTCCAAACCTGACATCTGTGCTCCACTTTTGGAGGACAGAAAATAAGAAGGGGTCTTTGAATAAAACATTTCTAATTTTTCAGTGACTTGTGAGTATGAAGATGAGGTTGTTGCAATTGTTAGGTGTTGGTATTGAGGGTTGTCCTTCAAAGCTCTCAGCTCAGCTACAGTTTCATGGTGATTTATATGGAACAGCATCTGTGTTCTTTACCTTGTGAAGCTCCAAGTGGGTAAATTGCCCAAGGTTTTCCATAATTGGGAAACTGTGTGAGCTGAGCACAGAAGGCAGTAGGTCTAGGAACTAATAGCCAGGTGGAGCTTTGAACTGTATGACTTAGAATGGGTCATGATTTAAATAAAAGAAATCCTGAGAAGCCCCATTGAGAGTTCATACTTAGACTCCTTGTGGCCACCCTTCTCCCTGAACAAGGTCCACTCTAATCCTTAGTGGGGTGGATTACAAGTGTTTTGACTTGGAATGGCCCAGTTCTGAGAACGCTAGGTTTAAGTTTTAGTTGGACTAGGTTCAATAATTTTAAGAGGTAGGTGATTGATAATGTAAGAGAATTGGCATACCTGATTCTGGAAATCTTAGATTCTTCCCTCCCTTATGATTTCAGAAAGCTGTTAGAATGGCCCTTTCAGAACTCCCAGTTCCCAACCCCACAGAGGGCTCTTGTCATTCCATTCCTCATCAACCTCTAAATTCATTTATTTTTATGTATTTGATTCCTTTTAGGAAGAAAATATCCACCCCCTTACAAGCATTTCTGGACGGCTGAGAGCTAATTTGGCCCGAGGCTGGGGGCTATGTTTTGTGTGTGTGTATAAATTTGCACTGAAGTCTTGTTTCAGAAACCAGACCACTGAGGAGAGCCTGCCGAGCTGAGGCCGTGGCCTGCGTGGCTTGGGGAAATGAGTTGGTGGATAAGACTTCTGGGCTTTCGAACTTGCCCCTCCCCTATTTCCTACCCCCCCATATGTCTGACCCTGTTTTACCCATTTCGAGTGCAAGCGGTGCAGCACCTCCGAAGCATCAATGCACACACCTGCTGTTGCTTTTGATTTCTGGAAGGCATGTAGTTTCAACTTGTAACAAAAATATTTGTAGTCTTCAATAAACTGTGGTATTTCTTTAGTTAACTCTGGCGTTCTTTCCGTGCATGTCTTTCTGGACACTAGGAACCAATTTTGTGCTGTGGATGAAGGGTGGAGGGTGGCCTTTTTAGTCAAACCCCAGCATAGCTAAAAAACTGTTAACATTTCAGTATAGTGGTTTTATTAAGGTGGTGGTGGGAGGACAGCCTCAGTTTCCAGCCTGTTGATTGGTTGGTAAAGAAAGCTGTTTGTAGAAAACTTCTGATTCCCCATGCTTGTATCTCTTTACTTTCTCATTTAGATCTTCCCCTTGCCTCTTATGTAAGCAGAGGGGAAAGAACAAAAAAGTTTAGTGTGTCATGTTATGGTGACAGGTAAAAGAGATGGTGTTCAGAGCTTTTGTTAGCAAAGTTATTTTCCAAGCCTTCGTTCTCACATATGGTTCCCAAAGGCCAAGTGGCTGAGATCTGATAAAGTCATTAGTGATCAGTTAGTTGATGACTCAGGCTCTGTGAAAACTGTGCTAGCCTGGAACATTGTTCTTAGTCCCTTGATGGCTTTTTAGAAACTGAATTATTAGTCGTTTTGCACTTGTGGGTATAGCTAAGGATGTGTTGGAAAAGTTTGGCCAGACATCTCATTGAATGTGGAAATTCTAATCCCCACTCAGTCCTACTAGTACACCCTTTCTTTGTAGAGTTAACTTGGACAGTGATATCACCACCCTTGGTTAATCAGAAACCAAAGTATTCAGCCTTCCCTGTATTTGTTCACAGCCCTCTGGAGTACCAATACCCATTATTTTCTAGGGTCTCTAGTGCTTACATTGATGGTATTATGGCTACTATACAGAGTATTGTCTTTGTTCCTGCATTTTCAATCCCTTCAACCCCATATCCGAGTTAAGGCCTCTGGACTAGAAGCTGATTTTTAGCTAGCCCAGCCTCTAGAAAGAATGAGACCAGGTAGGGGCACATTGGAACTAAATTCCTCTCTACCACCCAGCTTGAGGATCCAGTTAGTCATTTCTCCCATCCTATGTAGGCCATCTAGCCTCACTACAAAGTGACCAAACAAGGTGTTTGAGCCTTTGCAGTAAAAAAAAAATTGTTTCTTTTAGTTTGTCTTAAAAATGTTCTATTTATGTCCTGTTTATTCCACCTTCACTCTCAGCCCTTCCACACAAACCTCATTAGTTTTAATATTTTACATAAGTTCTTTTATACCTGTTACCCAGTGATTTGTGAGACCAGGCACCAGAGTTTGAAGACAGAAGGGAAAAAAGTACTCCATTAGCTCCTTAAGAAGTTCCTGTATTGTTCCCTTCTTTTACTTCAGTGCCTTTAAAGTAGAGTTGGTATGTTGGAGATGAGGAAGTATTTTCTCTTGTTTGGTTTTTGTAGTTCTGTCCTTTTTCCTAGTTGGTGTTTGCTCCTCCCTAGAACTATCTGGACTTAAGACGTGAGAGGGCTTTCCAGGTTAACATGCCATTTCTATTGGGAAAGTTCTAAAGTGACTGTCCAAGGTGGGCTTAACTTTTGAAGGCTGCCTTTGTCCTAAGCATGGGAGGATCTGGGTTCTGGAGTTTGAAAGGAGATTGCTGTTGAATTGTGAGCGAAAGATTCTTTTTTTGTGATTTGGTCACTCTAGTACAGTGCTTCTAAAAACTTTTCCATCAAAGTGCTCCTAACAAAGTAGCAGAAGGATTGTATACCTCTGAGGGGAAGAATTCAAGAGCATAGACAGAAATGCAGTTTTTCTGAAATTTTATCTTCATGGAAACTAATATCTTTTAAAAATCATATCTTTAAATTTCTAGTTAAATATTTTTCCTCAAATTTTTGTTTAAAATATCTCAAGCAAGATGCTAGATTTTTTTTTTTCTTTCCTTTATGTCTTTTTTACTGACCGGCAACAGGATTGCAACCCTCGGTGTCGCGCCCGTACCGGGGATCGGCAACGGGATCGCAACCCTCGGTGTTGCCCCGCACCACGCTCAGCCAGTGAGCGGGAACCGGTCTCCACATGGGATCCGAACCCTCGGCGGGAGCGCCGCCGCACTCCCAAGCGGCGCACTCTCCAGTGCGCCACCAGGCCGGCCCCAAGATGCTAGATTATTTATCCATGGCTTTTCCTCTCTCCTCGACCCATTGCGCTATACCCTACGAGGGTAATTGCACTTTGAGGAATACAAATTAAAATGAGGTATTACCCTGGTTTCCTGAAAGTTTCAGTGTTAGTAGAGTTTTTTCAGCAAGAAATAGGTGAGTTGGGATATGGGTCAGAGCTTTTATCTCATGGAGAAGCTGAAGTTGTAAATTGAAAATGACATTTGGTGTTTTGTGTTCACCTAGGCTTTGGGAGATAGCCTACCCCTGTCTACTTTCCTATTCCTCCCCACCCCAATGTGCTTAGGCTTAAATTGTGTAAATGGAAATTCATCTTTGTGTCAGCCCTTTAAATCATAAGTATATAGTCTAGAGGCTCCAAGACTGGAGAATCTGGACTAAGTGAGCGGAAGCTCTAAGAATGAAAGTGCTCTTGAGTGTTGAATTAGACTGTTCTTCTAGTACTTACCTTATGCTGTGGAGGCATGAATTTTGAGCCCAAAAGTCTCTCTTCAGTAACAGAAAGAGCCAGATAACCCAAGTCTTCAGGGACAGGACTGAATGGAGTTTGGGTGGATTTATTTGAATGGACATTAAAAGCTTATTACATTCTTGTTGGGTATTGGCACAAAAGTATTTTTTAAATTGTATATGCTAGTGAGGTTTGATTATATCCCCTTCCCCCCCCCAAAAAAAAAAAAAAACAAGTCACCTCACTCACACACATGCTCAGCACACACCCAGAAAAGGCAAAGGAACACTTAGGGAGCTTTTCTATCACAAACTCTTATCTCTCAGGACTGACCTGAAGCTGGAAAAACCAAAATTTCCTTGCAGTGCTATAGCTAGAAAGGCTACAGACATCACCTCATCCCACCTCAGGCAGCTAGCTGAGCTAATCCTCCTGTCTGTTTCCTCCTCTCCCAGGTGTATCAGTCACTTCCAGTAACACGGGCGTGCCAGATATCTCGGGTTCTGTATACTCCAAAACCCAGGTAGGTGCCTGGCTCTGGACAGAAGTGGAAAAAGAGAGATGGACATAGAGGAGATAGAGTTGCAATGTTAGAAATACGGTGAACAAGAACAACCCTAGTAGAGGTGTCAGGAAACACATTCTACCTTATTTCTAAACGAGTGGTCTTCTCTAGACCTCAGTTTCTCTAAGACATTAAAGTTTAGCCCTCAGGCAAAAAACAAGAAATGTAATAGGAAAGTGAGGTATGGCAAATTTTTAAAAATGTGTCATGTGACTTACTGTGCAACTGTCCTGGCCCCTTTACCTACCCACTCCCAACCTTTTTCATAACTTTCCAAGAGAACAAATACGAGAATGAAGGAAAGCTAGTTTATTACATTCTTTGTGAGTAAATCTATAACAAAGTGGGAATGGGAAAAGGAGACAGTCCAATAACTGGGTGAGGCATTTGAGTTATCCACAGGTTTGTGTTGTGTTGCTTTTATCCCATAACATAAATAATTAAAAGTTTGCTATAAATATTAGAGGTTTGCGGGGGAGTGCGTCATGGCCAAAACCTTCAACACTTAAGATACCTCTGTGTGTATTCATTTCTTTTGAAACATCCAAGGAGTTCTAGTTTCTATCCAATTCCAGGGGCAGGAATGCCAAGAGTAGTCAGCAAATTTAGGTTTGTTCATAAACTCCTGTGACATTAGATTTTACAAAGTACTTTCACATTCATCCTCTCATTTGATCCTTGTGACAGAAAAGTCAGTTAGCATCCCTGTTTTACGTATAAGAAAATAGGCTGAGAGATTGAGTAATTTGCTCACGATCACACAGCTATTAAAGGGCAGAGCTGGGGACTGAGATCTGAATATCTGGCTTTAGGTGCACTGTTCCTTCTGTGACACCAGGCTGCTTTCTGTGGCGGGGGGGAAGCTTGGGCTCAGAAACTCCCAGGATTCATTTGCTGATTCCTTTTGCGCTCTCTCTTCCTGTCCTCCTTGATAGCAGTCCTTTGAGAAACAAGGTTTTCATTCCGGTACTCCTGCTGCCTCCTTCAACTTGCCTTCAGCCCTAGGAAGTGGGGGGCCCATCAATCCGGCCACAGCTGCTGCCTACCCACCTGCCCCCTTTATGCACATTCTGACCCCCCATCAGCAGCCGCACTCCCAGATCCTTCACCATCACCTGCAGCAGGATGGCCAGGTAATAGCCTTTCCCCCTCTGTCCTTTCCCTTCCTCTTCCTTCCTGTCCCTTAAAACTGCCTCCCCTTTCCTTTTCTTACCCTTCCTCAGCACCACCTTCACCCAATCCCTTCCCAGCGCCAGCCATGGGCACACAGCACATACAGACACAAGCGCACATAACACTAGCAGCCAGCAAAGGAAATGTCAGAGAAGGGGCCAGATTGAAACCTTTTTTGCCCAATTCCTTTGGTGCCTTTCTCCTCCACCTTGTCCCATGGCACAGTTGTCATCCCATCAGACCTGGGTCACACCTCCCCTCATACCTCTCCCAGTCTTCCCCTTTCCCTGACATTATAGCTTTTTCCTTCTAATGGTGGAGTTCTATTGTCAAAGTTTGTCCCTTTATTTTCCATATATCCTGGTTCTGCCTCAGCTACCATATTTGCAGATGATTCTCTGTTGCCAGCGCCAGCAGGAGGAGCAGGTAATGAAACTGAATGATGATATGCTTGAACCCACTCCTTTTCAGTCCTCATTTCACCTCCACAGCCTCAGGAAACTTGGAAAGAAAAGACTGCGCGGTCACAAATCGGGATACACAAACACAAACACCTTGCTGAGCTCTCTGGCCTCCCCTTCCTCTTCTCCTCCCCTCCTCAACACCCTCTTTATCTTTCTATCCTTCCCCAACTCTGGAAACACTTGGTTACCAGAATGGAAAAGATTCCTGAGGCAGCATCTGGAGACCTCAGACTGTCTGTCCTACCTTGCTCACAGATGTTATGTGTGGTAGGGATGGGGATCCATAAGATGGTGCAAGTGACCTCTTGAGAGCTCCATCATAGGTGGCTGGGGAGCTAGAATAAGGGCTTCCTTGCCATCAAAGACAGCTTTCCAGTTGAGGCATTCATGGGGATCAATGAAAATGAAATCACATTGTGATCACTCATCTCTAAGAGGCCACAATTCTCTCTAGATAGTAACTTTCTTTCAGAGAAGGGGTGGGTGGTGGAGTACTGGGAGGAGGTAGAATTGAAAATGATTGAAACTATCTTGTCTCCAAAGGTATCTTGTCCTCTTTACATCTTTCCCCTATTTAAAGGTCAAAAATGCTTTCTTTTTTGTAAGAGAGGGTCTCTAGAAACTATGTAGACCAAATTTTCTGTGGTTGAGAAATAAACTTCATAGTAGTTTCTAAGTAAGGGGAATGGGAGAGCATGACAATTTGCATCTCTCCACCTGAAGATAATACAGATGTGTCCCACTAACTAGACACCTTTTTCCTCTTCATGATCCTCCCATTCCCCTGCAGACGGGCAGCGGGCAACGTAGCCAGACCAGCTCCATCCCGCAGAAGCCCCAGACCAACAAGTCTGCCTACAACAGCTACAGCTGGGGGGCCAACTGAGGCCCTGACCCTCTTCTCCTGGTCCCATCTTCTGAGAGGGCTTCTCAGCCTGGAATCTATGGAAGCAGCATCAAAGAGAGAAAGGAATGGGGGGGGGGGGTTCCGCTGCCCCCCAGTCCCAGCGGCCCACCCTATGCCTCAGCTTCATGTCTGTCCCATTCCCATACCATTCCTACTCTGTTGTATGTATTATAGGATTTGTATTTTATCCTTTTTCTTTCCTTCTTTCCTCTTCCTCCTCCTTCCCCCTTGCATTCAAGATTATGAAACTTTGCTGTGGGCCCTGCCCTTCCTTTGCTTCCTCCTGTTCACCCTGGTGGTGTATGGGTGAAGTGGGGAGGAGGGACTCCCAAATATATATCAGCCCAACAGCCCTAAGTCTCCTCCTTTATTATTAGGAAAACAAAACAACAACGAAAAAATGGCGTCATGAATATGAACAGCATTGTCAGATGAATTAGTTGAAGTGGTTTTTTTTTTTTTTTTTTTTTTTTTTTTTTTTTTTTTTTTTTTTTTTTTTTTTTTTTTTTTTTTTTTTTTTTTTTTTGTACTGTGTCCTCAAATTTAATGGATTAATGTGTCTTGTATATATAAAAAGAAAACCTCTACCTTCAGCCTCTGCCCATTCTTGCTCCGTCTAGGATATCCTCAATCTCGTCGATGACCAGCTTGGTGAATAAGTATTACTGTACCAACTGGGCCTCCTGTAGCAGGCCCCGAAGGCAGTGGAATAAAATGAAATCTTTGCCCTTTAAGAACTCCTCTGACCTTAATGTGCTAGTATCTTGCCCTTGAGGGAATTCCCTTTCCTTAACCCCTAAGAATTTCACAACCTGATGACTGGAAAGAACCACCACAAATCTTCATTTCCTCCAGAAACTCCTACGCCTACAGCAGATTTCAAAGAGGGGGAGAGGAGATTGGGAGGAAAGGGGAGAGGATTAAGGAGTTGAGACCATTCGAAAGAAAGAAATGGCTTAATGAAGTCTTAGTATGACTTAGGGTCCAGGCACATACACTGAACAGAAGTGAGGGTAGCATGTGCTGTTAGTTGGCAGAACTAAAGCTCGGGGCCGCTACCCCCAGGAGTAGACTACAGTAGTTCTTGATTATTGAGTGCTTTCATGTAGCATAGCTATACCCAATCCCTTGAAAAAAGGAGTCTAGAGCAAGGCCTGGGGTGGAATGGGGTACAGGGAGGGAGTTGAAAATCAATGATAGGGAGGTGGTCAGTTAGCTCCATTGGTTAGAACACATCCTTGTAACACCAGGGTCAAGGGTTTAGATCTCCACACTGGCCAGCCACCAAAAGAAAAAAAAAAATCAGTGATAGAAAAAAGGGATACTTATAGCCCCCAATTCTTTATTCCTAATCAGGCCTTTTCACTAGCTTCTCTTCCCTTATCTCTTACAGATCCTTTATCTTGCTGGTTGCAGAGCCTGCTTATAAATACTAAAATAATCCTTTGTGGTTATGGCAAACTCGTTAGCTGCAGAGATAACGTACATAACATACTTACATAAGGAGGGGGGGCTGGGAGAGGTGGTCGGTATGGGGATACGAACCTGTAACCTTGGGGTTATAAGGCTGTGCTCTAATCACTTGAGCTAGCCGGCTATTCCTGTCCCAAAGCCTTTACTCAGCTCTGGGGGATTCAATCTAGAAAGAGCTTGGTAAAGCATTTTTGTCCATCCCTCTAATATTAGGTGTCTCCCAGGTCAGTCTAGAAACACGACCGAGGAAGGGGGCGAGGTGGTTTCTGCTGGTAGGCCGGCCGTCCTTGGGTGGGCGGTCCAGGGGTGAGGGAGGGCCTCAGACAAGTCCATCTGTGCGTTAGGGCTGCCCTCTGGCGGCTTTATCCGGGGTCAAACTCTCGAAACACAGTTTTGGACCGAGTTAGTCGGCAGTAGGGAGAATCGACTTAGGAGTGAGGTGGTCACTGGAAAATAAAAATTCGGCACGCCAACTTCCCTCACAGAAAGCTGATCTCTTGGAGAATGACCGTCCCGACCGGCTCCACTTCCACGTCCGGCTTACGGTCGTTTTACGACAATGTGTCCGGATCGCAGGCTTGCTTTCCGGCAGCGCGGACTGACGCTTAGCTCAATTTCCGACGGCTCAGCGCAGGCTGCCCCATGGTGCGAATGGGCTACGGGAGGGGTTCAAAGGTTCGAGACCCAGTACGAGAATGAGCCTCTTTGATCTCTTCCGGGGCTTTTTCGGCTTTTCTGGACCTCGAAGGTGAGAATAGGTCCGGATCGGACATTGAAGGGGGAGGTCTTCTGCGGGGAGTTCGATCCCTTACACCCTATTTTTGGAAAAACATCCTCTTCCCCACTCCTTCAACTCCTGCGGAGAGGACGGAAGTGGCAGCATTGAGAAGTCACCCCGCGACAGTAACCAATGCGGTCGTTAGGAGGAGAAACAGGTTTTCTCCAACCTGGGGTGATGCAACAGGGGCCCAGCGGGGAAGACAGTGGGGTTCTGGGGCAGAGGACAATGAGCAAGTGACCCGGACCTTGGGGGCTGGGATCACCGAAGAAAAACCAGGGAAAGGTTGTTTGGGAAGAGTTGCGAAATGAGGGCTGACTTTGATAAAAACTTAAAACAGTTAGCTGTTATGTTTTTTGATTTGACAGCCAGTCCTCCAGCCCTCTCCCCAGCTTCCCGGACCCTTGCTCTGGTCCCGCTTTTCCACCCATGAGTTGATTTTATTGCTTAAATAGTGCTGAAATCTTGGTGGCCAATCTGCCTCCGCCCTCAGACACAAAGATCCCTTTTTTGGAGGGATGACTCGAGATGAAGATGAGGATGATGAGGAAGAGGAAGAAGGAGCCGCATGGGGCCATGGGAGCCGGAGATTTGATGGTCCCCAACCTCCTGAGGAATTTGGCTTCAGCTTCAGCCCAGGAGGAGGGATGCGTTTCTACGATAACTTCGGCTTCCACGACCTAGTACGGGATTTCAATAGCATCTTCAGCGAGATGGGGGCCTGGACCTTGCCTTCCCACCCTCCTGGTGTGTGGCTTTACCTGAGGGAGAACCCATGGTTTCTAGTGCATTGGTGGGTGAAAAAAGATCCTACGGGGAGTAGTTGGGGGATGGGAAGTGTGAGTAGACAGATGATTTCAGGGAGATTTAAAGAGCCCAAGTCCTTTTCCACACCAGCATCCACTGCCACCTTTCTGCAGAACTTCCAGGTACTGAGTCAGAGACACCTGGTGAGAGACCACAAGAGGGACAGACACTTCGGGACTCAATGCTTAAGTATCCAGATAGTCACCAGCGCAGGACCTTTGGGGGGGTCTTGGAGAGTGATGCAAAGACTGAATCCCCAAAACCAGCACCAGACTGGGGTTACCAGAGACCTTTTCATAGGGTGAGTACCCCATCTGGGCCTGAAGTGAGAACGTATGGGGAGACCACTAATAAAGTGCAAGACTAGAATCCTTGTTGGAATCAGTCTTGTTGATAGACTTGGGTTGGAATCCTGGGCCCTCCACTGTGTGTGTGTGTGTATTTCTACATGTGTGTGTGTGTATTTTTACGTGTGTGTGTGTGTATTTTTACGTGTGTGTGTGTGTGTGTATTTTTATGTGTGTGTGTGTGTGCGTGTGTGTGTATTTTTACGTGTATGTGTGTGTGGCTGGCCAGTAAGGGGATCCAAATCCTTGACCTTGGTGTTACAACACCATGCTCTAACCAACTGAGCTAACACTTTTTTATGTGTTTATTTGTATTTTTTTTATATTAAGCTTCTTGTAGGATTTTCTTCAGGAGAAAATGGGAGTTCTGTTTCTTTTAAAAAAACAAACCAAAATACTGGTCTAGATGATTCTCAGATAAGGCAGAATTGTTGGGGGAGGACAGGGAATTATCAGTTCAGGAAGTCTTTTTGGTAGAACACTACGTAAAACAGCCAGGAAGGAGTAGGTAAATAAAGCTATCCTGAATGGAATTATTTCTCCTGGGAGAAGGGGATTTTGGAACTTGGGAGTGGTTTGGGATCTGTGACTCATCAAGTTTCAGTTTGGAAGGTGTCTTTTCACTTACTGTGGCTTCTTCTGCAGTTTGATGATATATGGCCTGTGACCCCACATCCTAGAGCCAGAGAGGACAATGGTGAGTCAGGAGGGAGGGGACATTTACCAGCCCTCTGTTATTTACCTGAAGTTCTGTCTGTACTCCCTTTCTAAAGTTCCTTTCTGCCACACTTGTTCCCTTTTTTCCTTTGGACTCTCTCTCCTGGTTCTTCACCTCTCTGCTTTTCTAGATATTGATTCCCAGGTTTCTGAGGAGGGCCTTGGCCCAGTTTTACAGCCTCAACCCAAATCCTATTTTAAGAGCATCTCTGTGACCAAGATCACTAAGCCAGATGGGGTGAGTTCAGAGAGAGGGTTAAAGAAAACTGTGGCCAGGGAATGCCCTGGAAAAAGGGATCTGTGTAAAGAAACATAATCCTTTAGTAATGTTAGGAATTTGGTGGGGGCTTGTCCTTGTAGACAGTAGAGGAGCGCCAGATTGTGGTGGACAGCGAAGGCCGGACAGAGACCACAGTAACCCGTCAAGAAGCAGATGGTTGTCCCAGAAATGGTAAGTTAAGAGTATGTTGCTTTTTTTTTTTTTTTTTTTTTTTTTTTTTTTGGC